GCAGCAGTTTCTCTAATGAGTTTATGGTATTTATTTATTTATTTATTGGCCTTTAAGACTTCTTTCTACTGGGAAATCTCTGACTCATATATAATACAAGTACAGTCCTGCAGGGTGGAGTCATTTGTAAGAGGTCATTAAAGCAACACATTCCTTTAAGTCACTGCTGTAAAATTGGGTTGTTCAATTCAAAATATAGCACAGAGTGGCAATTACCTGCATTAGCCTTATTCTCTGTCTGAAATTATTTAGTTGTTCATAATCTCCCTCTGCAGAGTATTAGCTACACACAGGGGAATTAAGCATTGCATTTAAAGGGAATTGGTCTGTTCCACCGAAGGGTCAAACAGCAGGTTGGCCGAGCCTTGGCATACACTGCTGCACTTGTCCTCAGTGGACCACCCCCCCCACCCCCCCTTCACCTTTTCCTCAACAGCCAGAATTGTGATCGTCCTTGCCCTGGGGCCTGAATCTGGCTCCCTCACGACCTGGGAAGGATCCCCAACTCTGTACATCTATTGAACACTATTCTTGATTAATTAATCTGGACACACAAATCCCAAGTCTTAGCATTTCTGTAAGGCAAATGGCTTCTTACAAAGTCAACTGAGATCAAGCTGGATTTGTCAGTTGTACATAAATGTCCCAGCAATTCAAAGGGACCAATCTGATACTTCTGGTGACCAAAACAACCAGACATGTGCTTCCTGCATGTCAGAAAAGCTTCATGGGGGAATGTGTGCAGAGGGGAGGAAGAGGTGCCAGATTTCTAATGAAGGAAGATCCAGTGAAGAAGTAAGCAGCTGTAGATAGCAAGGTGTAATCTAGAAAATCCTCTAAATAACTTAATTAGAGTTGATTCAGCAAAATACACCTCTAGCTTCTGCTAAACACCAGTCAATGTTGGGGGTGCAGGGAGCAGGCAGAGAGCTTTCATGAATCCTGCAGGAGACAGATATAGCTCAGATTAAAAGAAACGGGCAGAAAAGGTACTGAGATAGTCCTACTTTGATGAAGATTTTTAATCTAAAGGTGCCAGATTTTCTGATGTTTCCAGAGAATCAAAAGTAGCATAAAACTGGCTAAGGGAAAGGTGCCGAGGGTTTCATTACATGACATTGGTGAGAGGGAGGAAGTTGTAGCCCACTTATGCTTTGCCCATCTCCTTTCCCTCCCCACTCCCCATTCTGTGCCAGCTCTGTACTTGATGCATAGGGAAAAAGGTAGAAACACCACTGAATTCAAGAGGGAATGCTCTATTCTTTTATGTGGCAATTTGATAAGGTTATCTGGGGTTTTCCCTGCTCTTGTTTTGCTGTCAGACTCCAGGTTGCTGTAACTCAGCAGAGGTTTCATTTTGGAACCAGCTGCAGGTCTGGTGGGCGTAATTGTGTTGCTGCCTGTACAATTCTTGATTTGCATCGATATGAAAGAGAGAGGCATGTCCACTGCGTTGCGAAACTTGGAAAGTGCTAGAGAAACAAGACATACCTGTGAAAGTCAAGGTTGCACAAAGCCTCTGTTCGCTTTTTTTTTTTTAAAAGGGTAGCTTTCCTCACTTGTGCCAGATGATTTGGCTCTTCTTCACCATTCTTGCTTCTTTGTAACACTTGGATCAGCTTTTCAGTGGGCAGTGCTTTTTGTCAGGACTGTCAAGAGGTGATCTCCACAGCAGGATGGATTTTCTGTCTTCCTCTGGCAGTCTTGCTGGCTGGCTGTGTGCTTTTCTCCTGTGCATTTTGTCCACTCATCTTTGTGTTTTACCGTACTTTTTCTTATCTTCCCCAATTCTAGCTCTTTCTGCCTGTCGTTGGACAATCTTTTGTTCGCTTTTTGCCAAGCTCCATTCTTTTAACTAAGAAAGTTCAGAAAGTGGATCTGGTTCTCAAATATACACAGGAGACATCAAATTTATAATGGGTGCCAAAAACACACTTTCATCATGATACTTTGAAGATGTTTATTTCAATTTGCTTAAAATGTACCTAGCTCAAATCCTGCGTGTGTATACAAACTTAACAGCAAAATTAGTAAATGTGCCTCATAATTTAAGATTTGTTTGCTCAGGATTAGATCCTGTATAGACTTGCAGCTAGCTTCTCTGTTGAAGAGCTTGTATCAGCTCAGGTTTATTTTTAATTTGTCATCTTACAAGCTTCTCATTATGATAGTAGGTGAGCATCTCGCAGGCAGTCAGATAAGAAGTGCTCTTATCCCTATTTAGGAGGTAAGTGACCTGATGATGGTCACTTAATCACGGAGGTTTGTGGCAGACCTTGTACTTCAGTTCTACCTCCTGACGTGGCCTTGGGAGCTAGCAGTGTGAACTGTGCTGGCAGTTGGTAGCCTCATGTTTCACCATGGGAATAGCAGAGCACAGAGTGCATGCTGCAGTCTCTCAGGGTTTTATCAGGAATGACATGACTCTAGTCCCTGCCGCAGGCACTGTTGTCACCCAGTTTGGGGAAGTGAGATGTATATGAAGAAGGGAAATACCTCAGTCTGTGAAATTATCTACAGCTCAGGGGATGGTTCCAAGGCCAAAACCCAAGGGTTTCAGTCTCAGTTCTTTCCCTGTCAGCAGTTAGTATTTCAGTGCACTTCAGCAGCTGTATGACTGTGGAGGGCTTCGTGCTGCAACCCTGGGGTGCAGCCATGGCTCACACAGAGCTTCCCCAAGGTCGCTTCAGGCAGAGCTGGAAGCAAGCCCTCGATGTACAACAGCCACAAGTATCCAACCCCAGGCTTTGAGAAGGAAAAGAGAAAACTACTTTGGTCCCCTGTGCCATCCCGAGTCATTCTGTAGCAGCCAGACCAGATAAGAGGTTTATGACTCTGCCTTTCTTCTCTGTCAAGTACTTTGTCTCTTTGGAGTTTGCATTCCTGGAGTTCATTAACTGTGTGTCTGTAAGTATTTGATTTTCCCTCTTTGATTTCTTCAGGAGGAGGAGGAACCAAGATCCTAGCGTTCCTGTAGTCCTGGCAATATATGTATGGATTCCTCTAGTGCTTGTTTTCTGCTGTTACTGTAGTTGGATTAATTAGATGAGCTCTCTGACATAGGTCTCCAAGTGATGTGTTCAAAGCCTGGGGTGGGGAAAGGGTTATGGCTATAAAATTAGAATAAATACTCAGGAGTAAGGGCTGGAATAGCCTTGTGCCACATAACGTGCTTGGTAACCTGTTATGTGTGCGGTACTCTTGCATTCATAAACGAGATCCCATTTAAAAACAGGGTAGGTCAGACTTTACATTATCCATGGCAGGTTTTTTCCCAAATATTTCCAGGAAGAAGACCTATTTCCATGCTCCAGAAAGCCCGCAAAGCAAGCTCCAAGCTGAGGTGTACCAAGTTTTTGGGAGTCTGTAAGCCTTGGGTTTCTAAACTGTGCCAAAAGGCACAATGTCATCTGTAAAAGAATTAAGATTTGGGGTGGTATCTGACTCACAGTTTTTAACTTTTGGTGGTTATGATGTGTCACCGTAGCCATGATCTTCATTACAAAATTCTCCCTGTCTTTGCACTTAGATCCTCTTAATCTGCTTTGTCGTATCTCATAGATGAATTTAATTAGGAAGATTTAATAGGAAGTCATTAAGCGATTTCATAGGAAAGCAGCATCTTTTCTCTTCCCTACTGCCATAGTTCCCCTCCCTCGGGCTCTTTCCATGCCGTCACTTAACTTCTCCCTTACTCATTCTTCAGGAGAGCAAGCAGTTCTGAAGCAGCAAGATGAACGACCCAACTTTCCCATGGTTTTTTGCATGTCTGAGTGACTAGTCCAAAAGACACAATCTCTGATAAATTTTGCTGGGTTTTTTTGGGGGGAGACTGTGGTGGCAGTGGTGTTTCTGTGTGGGATTTCTCATGTCTAGTAAGGTATAAGCTCACACAGGTGCTGCAGCTGAGGCAGGGGCAGATTCCCTCTCCTTTTTCCATAGAAAACAACCGCTCCCAGAAGACTCAGAGGAGTGATCTTTGGGTCCTCTATCTGTTGTGAAACGTGTCAGATACTGGCCAAAGGCCTGCCAGCTCATTTGGGGGGAAACACACGGGCATTATCTTGACACACAGGTGATCACAGATGCCTCAGTTCTGTGGGAAGCCGTCTAAAACATGGCTGGCGGAGCTGCAGAGCACCAGTTTCAGGAGCCGGCGGGCTGCTGTAGGAACTGAACTCCAAAGCTGAGAATCTGTAGTTGAAAATCGCCTCTCTTCCCACATCTGCCCTTGAAGGGGCGCTTTTAGCCTCCCCAAGGACCTCGGTGGGATTCCCAGGCTCTCAATTAAGATGCTTTCTGCTCACCGGTCTGGCCAAGAGTTTTTTCAAGTCAAGTCTTCTGTGTGGTTGTTTTCCCACTAAACTCAGGGTCTTCAGGTTCAGCACCTGCACCACGACGCAGACACAGACGGGTTTAACGCCCGTTTTCACTGCGTCCTTCCCGAAGGACGGCGTTCGACGCCCCGAGCGCCCCAGCCGTCCGTGCTCCAAGGCCGGCTTGAAACCTGCCCGGGCAGGGGCTGTCCGCGCCGCCGCCGCCGCCACCGGGACCTCCCGTCGCAGAGGCGGGGCGGCGATGCTCCTCGCCCTCGGGCTGCTCCGGGGGCCGGGCCGCAGGGAGACCCCGCAGGGAGACCGGCTCTGCCCCGCAGCGCCCGCGCCCGTGCC